GCCACCTCACTGAGTTGTGAGGAGTAGCATGGTTGGACCAGTGCCTGACACAAGGGAAGGGGCACACTAAATGTTACCTACTCAAGACCACTCAGCTGGTGGCGACGAGATAGGCCAAGTCCCCAAGCACAGGGCTTTTACACCACACCTCATATTTCGTCTGCCTACTACACAGAGTTATGCCAATCTGTCCTGCCCTTCAGAGCTAGAGTGAGAATGTGAGGACACATTTCTTGCCATCCTGGTCATCCACTTTATCAACTGATTCACAAAATGGCTGGTCCCACCGCCCGGGCCGTGGAGATCCCGACCAGAATCTGACCGTCTCACATCTCCCTAAGGGCCTTGGGTTTTTAAGGAGGTTCCTTCAGATTCCCCTCAAAGCTACAACCTGGGTTTGCGCTTTAAGCCACAGGTGGGGAGTTCACTTTCCTAGCAGGTGTCATTGGCCCAAGACAAATAATCAGAATCATAAAGGTAAAAAGCAATCCATTAAGGATTTGGGTTATTTTAAGAATGGAAATATTTTTAACTTTATATTTTGGTTGTATCATAGTCAGCCAAAGAAAAGAGACTGGGAAATCGTAAAAGGGGGCCCAAGAAAGAAATTAAATTTGGGAATTTGCCAAAAACGAATACTGTTTGTTTGGCCTGGAAAAGAAAATGTAAAGGAGTTGGTAAAGTTAATGCCAGACGAGCTTTGCTCACACGCGCAGCTTTTCCCAGCTTCTGAGAACCACCCACATCCACCTGAACCAACTGAAAACAGTTCTCTCCCAGCAAAGCTGTTGCAAGTTTTGCTTGGGAAAATCCTGGCTTTTCTTCAACCTGCTCTGAGTCTAGGCCCAATGCAGTCTCTAGTCTAGGCAAAAGGAGTTCACACATGGTCTAATCTAGCTCACTAGGATGCCTGCCGTATTTTGCATTATGTCTTGGTTTGGTTTAACCAAATGGCTTCAGTAAGGTAGTTTACTTCTCGCTCATGCAAATGGCCAGGTAGGTGAACTAGGAGGGCAGCTCCACAATTGCCAGGAACTACTTCTTATCACTAGGACGGCAGCTCCACAATTGCCAGGAACTACTTCTTATCACCCCATAGTGCCATCTCTTACTCCATCACTTCATTCACACCCCATTGGCCAGAATCTCATGCATGATTCCTACGTGACCCCACTTTGCTGAAAGGGAGACTTAGACATGTAGTCTTTAGCCGGGCAACCATGTAAAGAGACTGAAAGATGGGGGACAACTAGCAGTTTCCACAACCATGTCCAAGAATAAAAGGTATTTATTAACCTCTATGCATATGTTTCTCCTGGGTACGACTCAGAAAGAGGTGGCAAAAATCAGGTTTCCAGGGGCCCCTGCAAAAACATAACCTTAATGTCCCTTCTGTTGGTGTTCTTTACGCAGGGCTTTCTGCTGACACGAGCACGTGGGTCTGCATCTCGCTCTCACCTCCATCAGCGGCGAGCTTGAGTGAAAACGAAGAAATACAGAGGAGAGCGGACCGAGGCACAGAGAGACTGTGTCTGCTGACAGCATTAGAACCCACGGGTCCAGCCGAGCCGGAATGTTAAATTATGTGAAACAACAAATGTCCCCCTTTTTATTCTTAAAGACAACAACGAAACACTCACTGCTCTGATCTTTATCACTGTAACATGCAGCCCGCACCACTGAGGCCGGAGGGGCGGGGAGCCAGGTGAAGGGCAGAGGCGGGCGGGGCGGCGGAAAAAAGGGCGGGGGCGGTGGCCAGGCACTCCGGCCACTGTGGTTTCCAGCAGGGAGGGAGGAGACTGACCCGTGGGCTGCCCACTGCGCAGCCGGCACGGTGGGTGCTTTCAGATCTTACACACTTCATATATATTACCTTGACTATATCTTCTATGTGATATAATGTACATTTATCATACATTTAATTCTCATGTAACTCCGAAGTACACATCATCATTCCCACTTACAGGAACGGCGCTAAGGCTTACTTCTCCAAGGTCACGCACTGAGAAGTGACAGATCAGGTAGGAGAAGCCAGGTCCACCCCACTGCCATGCTCCTTTTAAATTCCTTCCTGGGCCCTCTTGCCTTCTAGCTCCTGTCCCAACTAACACCGCCCCTTCCTCTTTGCCCTTTGGCTGCAAGGTGCCAGGGGCCAAGGCAGATGATGCATCGCTCCTTGCAGTGCTCACCTGTACGGGAAAGATGGCGCTTTGACGGCGCTTTGGAAATAAACCGGGAAAGCATTAATTCTAGGTCACCCATGGGGGAGTGCAGGGGCTCAAAAGCACAAGCGATTTCAATCAGCTTCTGAGGCAGAAGGGGGGAATTTTACCCAGGGAAGCAATCATCACCACCTGGTCGTGAATGCAGCGGTACAGAGGGGAGCTCTGAACCAGGTCCCAGGGACGTAAGCACTGGTTCCAGCTCAGCCCAAGTCCCTCAGGCGAGTCAGGGCCCCTCTCTGGACCTAGGGGTCCCCATCTCTAAAGAGCAGGACTGGGCCTAGAGGTGTTGGAAACTCCTTTCCAACCCATCACACCTTGGATCCCATGACCTGAGACGCCACAGATCTCAGTGCAAGCCTGTGCCATCCTCAAGCGCCAGCTACTAGGCCAGCTGGAGGCCAGGCTTCGTTGGGTAAGGTCCTCACCTCTCGGGAGCTCATTATTTATTTTCTAAATAAATGTCAGGTAGAAGAAACTAGGTGTCAGTAGGGGATCGTTGGTGGTTCCAATCACTATGGAAAGTTCCTTAAGCTTCTGCAATCTCCACCTAGATACAGAACCCCCAATCTGGATCTAGGAAAAAACCTGGGCCCAACTGCCCCACTGAGCATGGCACTTGTTCCCCAGCCTTTTCTCATCTTCTCTCTGGCACAGACTGCCTCTTGCCCGACTCAGTTTTATCCACTAATTAAAGGTCACACTTTCAGATGCAATCACTGAGAGATGCTCTCCAGGCGATGCAGAGGGAAAAATAAGGTCCTTCCCATTTCTTACTGCCCTCTGAGAAGTGACCTCACCAATGACAAATAACAGGGTTGCTATGAGGAAGTGTTAATGGGGCCCCTGGCCCAAAGGCAGCAATTATGAGACAAGATAGCTTCCTACTCTATTGTCGCCATTTAATTCAACAAATATCATTTGAGCCCCTCTGCTTTGTGACAGAAGATTCGAAGATGACTAGGTGCTCAGTCCTTGGGGGAAATGTTATCAACTGTCCAAGCTAAGAGGGAGCTGGAATTGTTGAAACAGATTTGCTGTAATGGAAGAACCATAAAAGTAAGTTGATATGGAGGTTCTTTAAATAAGTTGATATGGAGGCTCTTTAAATAGCAGTAATAACTACCACCATTTACTTATTGAGCACTTTCTGTGAGCAAAACTATACTGGGCGCTTTATATTTATCATCTTTGTGAATTTTTACAATGCTGAGGTGGTTATTTTTCCCAATTTATAAATGAAAGAATTTAACCCAAAGACACGAAGTAGCCGTCTACACTCGCGTAACTAATAAATGATTGACCGGGATCAGAGTCTACATAAGTCTGATTCTAGAGTGCATGTTTTCATTCACATTATAGACAATCTTTTACAACAGAAAAAGATTCCTCTTTTTCGAAAAGAAGTGTAAAATAGCAGATTCGACCCCTTACCTGCCCTTGTGGCGAGATGCGATAGTGAGTACAGCAGAGTGGAAAACCAGGAAACTGAGCTCAAATACAGGTTCAAAAGGAAACCTGTGGAGCTTGCCAGGTGAAATGTGAAACCAGCCCCAGGTATGGAGGGCAAGGACCGGCAGGCAGAGCCTCCAGATTGGTAAGTAGCAAGAGGTCTTACTTAGGAGGCTCGTCTTGCACGACCCAAAAACGAGAAGACCCGCACCCACCCATCCAAATCTTAAACGTGCGTATAGAGATCCTACCTTGCTTCAGTCACATCATCCATCCAGATGGTCTCAACACCTTACTTTCAAGGCTACATCCTTGAAACGGTTCCCACTGTTCCTACTGTGGGCAGAACGTACGTTTCAAGGCCAGGGGGGTGGGCTGAGGAGCCTCCGACTGCTCTGGTCCAGCTTTCTGATCAACCAGTGGTCACCACCGTCCCTTGAACTCTTCTAACGAAGTTCGGAGGAAAACTATAAAGTCTTGGCTTTAGCAGCCAGCTGCCTGTTCCACAGCGCCCTCTGGTGACCAGCTAATGTCATACATGATTTCCTATTAAATTTAAGAATAAAAAGTCTAATCACCAAAGATTCAGCCAGGATTAACCTCAGATAAAATAGATTGAGTCTGTTTTCTGGCCATTCTCTGCTCCAGCCTCATGCCCACTGACCTGCACACTCCTCGTGACTGGCGTAGACAAAACATAGTTTTGGGCATCAGGCTGCCCTGAGATCAAGTGCCAGCTATACTACTTAGAGACGTCAGTAAGTGGGACTCGCAGGCACCAGATCCTGCTGGAGCTCCCCGAATTTCTGCTTCTGACCTTCCCTGCTAACAGCCAGCACTCAATTTCATCTCTGCACTGAGTTAATCAACCACGCCGGCCAAACTCTTTAAGGTATTCAGATAATCACCTAATCACCATTAATCCTTGGTTTTTACATGTCATTCAGTATTTAGGGTTTTTTCCTTAGTGTATATAATTTTTATCTTAACAAAAGAAAAAGCTTAATCTGGAAGCTAACCCAGAACAATAAAATTCCTTAGCGGAATATTTACCACCTTAGTCAGAGTTGACACCTTATTCCATCTACATCTTAATGGCCATCAGGGTTTTCAATGGTTATCAATAATATACTGTGCCTCACAACACATGGTCATAGTTGAACAATGCTTCATTCTGTTCTTTATACATTTATTAATATTTAACGGTTCTATTATTCCATTAATACCAAATCTATGTCTATAAAATCAACACAAGAATATCACCTTTGTGTATTCCTAACATCTCTCTGTAGAAAGTCTCAATAGAGAGACTAGTTATGTTCCACATCAGACCTGAGTGTCAGACATGTATTTTCATCATCCATGACTCATATGCCACCAGTCTTCACCATTGGTCCATATTTGGGTCTCTTCTTTGTTCGTTTCCACATTTATATCGATTAAATCATTAATTCATTAATAATAAATACATTATTCACAAAATTCAATAAAATCCTGTAATATCCCTAATATCACCTTATAGAATGAAAAAAATTTTTTTAAGATATTCAGATGGTGATGCTGGTGTTAGTGGCAGGATGTCTCCTTTGAAACCAGAACTTTGCATGCCATTAACTGCTTAAGGATTTTTTTTTTTTTAAGAAGGGAGCAGCTGTTCAAAACAGCATAATGAAAAGTACTTTGAAGTCTCCATGACTGGCCAAGTATAAGCACTGAGAAGTGGTAGAAGGGTGGGGGATCCTGTAGGACTTCCTGGAGGAAGCAACACTTTAGAAGAAAACCAAATGAAGAGTTTAAAGACAAGAGTATTCCCACAGGGGCCAAACATGAGTAAATCCAAAAATCCAAAGAGAGGGAACAGTCAGCATTACAAATTCTGTTTTACTAAGGCAAGACCTAGGTGTGGTTGACAAGGTCAACAGGTATCCCTCACGGTATCCTATTAAGGAATGTGGACTTCTGTTGTACTGAGGATGTTACTGAAAGGCTTGAAAGCCAGAGTGTCCCATGACCACATTCTGCATTTTAGCTCACTCAAATGCTCTAATGGCTGCGGAGGACAGACGTGCGGGGCTGAGACAGGAGGCAGTCAGGAAAACAGAGGAGGTTACTGTACCAGTACAGCAGAGACTTGAGGCTTTTGGAGTCTTTGAGGAGACAAATAATTAGCATCTTTCTTTCACTATTGAGTTCTGAACCAAATGAAAAAAAAAAAAAAGGCAAAATGATAAACAGACAAGGGTCAAAATATTTTTATTACTGACAGACCCTAGGTGGATGATGTAGCTTTTATCTGTGGACTATAGTTAACTTCTTAGTATGGAACTCCCAAATTATTCAGATGTACCCACAAAACCACAGGCACTGCTGGACCACACCAGACTCCTCCATGTCTTCATGCAGGCCCCTATAAGGAGAGCATAACATATGCTCCCTGAAGGCATATGTCAACCCCAAGAGGAAAAAGGGGTTTTGGCAAACATGCTCAGTATCCCTCTTCCCATATTTAATCAGATAAGTCACTCCATGTCTTCTGGGGTGGAGGAAACAAAGGGACAGAAAGAGGCCAGGTGCATTATTACACTCATTAATCTTCCTCCATGTAGGGGAAAAAAAAACACCGGAAGTGAAAAGCAGCATTCCTCCCTTACTCTTCCCATCCTTTTTGTTCTTTTCACCCACTGGGCTTAACAGTTAAAGCCTTGGAGAATTAGAACACAGTCTATCATGAAGTCACTCTCAAATACCAACCAGCATGAGGGGGAAAAGGGAAGAGGAAGGATGCCACCGGCAGCTATGGGTAGAAGCCAGGATGCTGCCGAACCTCCTACAATGCACAGGAGTGTCAACCTTAATTAGAACCCTTAATTAGAACAGTACCTGCTCTGAATGAATTGCAATATAAGACAGTGTAAGCAGATGGGATAATCACACCATTTTTATTACCATTAAAGACTAGATTAAGAGACGTGGTTTATCGATAGACAAGTGAATTTCCTACTACTGAACCTCAGAAGTCAACTCAGTCACCTAGCCACAGACTAGGTAACCACAGGCCTAAGTGAGGTCAGGCTCCTCTAACGCTCACGGCCCATTGGAACTAAGAACATGTGCTCCCTGCAGGCTACAACCTCCTGGGAGGAAAAAAATTCACGCTCAGCTTGGGTAGGACAGCGAGTAAAAAGGCGGAAGGAGGATGGTAAACATTTAACTTCCCTCCAAAAGGAAAGAAACAACAGGAGAAAAGCATTCCCCCAAAGGTCAGAAGCAGTGACTTGCGGCAACAGGCTCCCGAGAACCAGCTGTTAAACCCTTGGCAGCCTGAAATCAGCCACTGTAGGAGCATTTGCACCATGAAAATCAAAAAATACCACAGACCAGGGCTTTGTTTTTAGAAATAAGTCGAGTCCTTTTTTCATGTGGAAACACTAAAATTGAAGGTGGATTCAAGACAAGATTTAAATGAAACAGAGAGAACACAGAGTAGCAAAAAATATATATAATCACAGCAAACGTTTTTCTAATCCATGTGTACCACAGACAAAAACCAAAAAAGACCAACATATGACTACATAAAAATACATTATTTATGTCAAAAAAAAAAAAGTACCACTACCAGGCAAATTACAAACTGGGGAATTTACCTGCAAAATGTGACTAAGAGTAACCATTAAGAATTCTTACAGATTAGTAACAAGCCGAGCATCTCAATAATAAAAGTATCATATAAGCAATTCATAAAATACAAATGAGATCAAAATTAATTTTAAAAATTTTAAACATACCAGGTTTCGCCTATCACAACGGCAACGAGAGAAGCTAGAACATTGCCAATGGCGTTACGTACGTAAAGGGCACTGTTTAAAACTGCTGGCAATGGTGTACATTGGAACAAACTTTTTGTTGGTAACATGACAATATATGCCCTTTCACCTTACACATTTATGAATTTATTCTCAGAAAAATAAAAACGTATACACCGGCACCTATGGGTAGTGTAATGGCCTGCTGAAATGTGAAAGGGTTAAAGAATAATTAAAACCTGAAACTGGACAAAGGAAGTCTATACCTTAGGCCTAGTTTCTGGAACCCCTAACCACATTCTGTTAATCATGAAACTTGTAACAATGAGCTCATACGCTAACTGCCAATTTTAGCCTGTGTAACCCTGCTTGCTTGCGTGGCATGAAAAATAATCAATTGTATATAAGCTGAAAATTACTGTTTGGCCATCGCCCATGGGAACACCGGCTATTGTCCATGGGAACATATGCAATCACCCATAGGAACATAACATTCTAACACAAGCTTTCTGCTTCTGTACTTCCCGCTTGCACACCTGACCAGTGGGTTGACAGGTAGTGAATAGGAGAAAGATGGACCTTTGTGTTTAAGACAGAATGAGGAATGGGATTTGGGGCTTAAAAACCTTGTATCTTGGCATTTCGAGGCTGCTCCTTTGCAAGGACAGCCGCTGGCTAATAAACTGTCTCCTGGTTAAGAGCAGTCAAGTTGGGTCTGGTTATTCTGGACACAACAGGTAGAAGACCTAGTTAGACTACAATGGCAACAAGAATAGGCTAAATAAGTTATGGTAAATCTATTTAATGAAATACTATGCGCACGTTAATGTTGCTGACCTATCTGACATGGAAAAACGTTTACCATTTAAATTCAAAAAAAGTTTTAAATGGCAGCTATGAAACGGTATATTTAAGGTGAAAAAGTTTTTGTAAAAATAAAATGTGTACTGAGTGAGAATATACTGAGAAAGTCCAAGAGGATATTCGGCAAAGTATATTTTTCTTTTTACTTATCTATACTTCTGCAATGTGCATACACTATCTGTGCATTTTGCTTGTTTGTTTTCAATAGGAATTAATGAGTTCAGTAGAAAAATCCTCATTTCAGAGCATCACAGTTTGAACAGAACTGTGTAATTAATCATTTCAGGTTTTTTAAATGCACCTGTTGGAAATCAAAGTTTGTCATTTTGTTTGGAACAACGTTTGAGAATCGAATGGTCACGTGAATGAGGAAGCAAACAGGTATGAAATAACAAGAAAGCAATTGGCAAAATAACTACAAGCTCTGTTCCACTGACTACTGCAGTATAAGAAATAAAATGACAATTATCCAAAACATTTTTATTTTAATCTTCAAAGAACAAACTGTTTTTTTTTCCAAGATAATGATAATCAACTTACAAAAATGGCATTTACAATGCCTCTTCAAAGCATTCCCCTTTAACGGGAAACGTAGCTTCACAGAATCCAAACGTTGAAAGGTTTAAAAAAAAAATTATATTTTGTTGTCATTAGAAGACAAAACAGAATCTAGCAAAAGTCAAGGGAATCCATTCACACTTCAGGCCCTTCTCCTCCAGGAACCAGCTGCAAAGGAAGAAAGAGTTTAATGACACCATCACGACATCACCTAAAAACGCCTGAGCGCGCCTCATCCACCAAAACCACTTCTGCCTCTGCCCCTCTGCCCCTCCTACCCACTCCTGTTTTCTCCATGGCACCTGTTTACAATTCCGACATCGCTAATCATTACTTAGTGTCTCAATGATAATTTTCGTAAAATAAAAGATTAAAAAGCACAAGCAAACTTATCTTTAGGCCTAAGATAGCTCCGCTTTACAGCCCGGACCACTAGAGCATCTCCTCCCATCCTGAGCACCGCTGAGCTGAGAACGTTTAACCAAGCTTAGCTCTGTAATCCCTGCCCCACAAAAATGGCCTAGCATTGAGACAAAACAGCTTTACTGCGTCTTACCATTGTTATATTATTTCCATTTAGCAAAATCTGGTCTAATTTAGTAATCCGTCTTCCTTCTGGTGTGATTTCACTGAATGAACAGATAAAAAAGAATCAGGATAAACAAATAATCAAAGCCAATGTTTTAATCTCTAAAAAAGGTTATTAATGTATATGAGTGAACATGAGGTCAGGCAATTACACCAACAGCTTTCAGAGGCAAAGATGATCCACTGGGTCATGAACATTCTTCCCCAAAAGCAACAGAGTGGCCTGATTGACCTAAAAGCCACATCCACTAGGGCTGAAACTTGCCAAGGAGATCAAATATGACATAAAATGTTTACATGCTCACTCTTTTTACTATTACTTACTACTGATTCCTATCCATTAAACCAATCTGTAATCAATTCAGTTCTGAAAACAGAGATACTGGTTGTGATTTTTGTAATTAATATGAGCTATCATTTACATTTTATCTTATACATATATGCAAAGCAATGAATTTAAGAGCACTAAATGCTCTTTCTATCAGTTCCTTGATTTGACTTGAGCCCTAAGATTCCTGGCTTTTTAAGTATCTTTTACTTTAAAGCTTTGTCTCTACTAATGTCCTAGCAACTTAGTAAATAATTACATTAAGGTAATAACCCTCTGATCCAATTTTACTAGCTTTGCCTCAATAGTTAAATTTCTATCTTTAAGGTAATTCCAACAGGCAATGTTTTCTCATTCATCATTTTACTGACTCAACAGTACTAAACTGCCTTAAAGATTCCTCGCCCCCAATTCTTTAATTTTTAACACTACTCACAACTCGGTGACATCTTCCAGTACCATATCTGAAATTTGATGTTAAGAAAATAAATATCAGGTTGAATTTACTCTGGCTTCTGCCTTTGTTCAGTTTTAATTGTAACATTTAACACAATGGCTCAAATTCAAAATGCCTGTGATTGGTTGAAACTTAATCTCCTTTAAGCACACACACCACTTAAAATATTACCACAACTTCCTTGAGAATATCTTGATTTTTATTATAATAATCAGTAAGTACCAATTGTCTATAGTTCTTACTTCTGTTCTTAAATACTGTAGAAAAACCCATACCACCATCACCTTTTAAAAGGATACTGACAAAGTCATCAAATCCTAGAAGCGTGCCAACAATTTCCTTATCACTCTTCATTACAATGTGAATTCTTGATCCTATACACTTGTCCACAAGCTCTATGGATAGGTTTTTTTTTAGAAGACAAAAAAAGGAGAGAGGGAAAAGATGATTTTACCCATTCATTACTTCAACAAATATTTGCGTGCCTATTGGCACTTATTACTTGCACATGGTGAAAGATAAACCAGAAAAAGTATTCGTTCAAAAACTTTATATCTTATATTACATATCTCTATTCAATCATTACATTAAAAGTTTTCCCTGTTCTCCACTTACTTCTCTTAAGTAGCAATTTCCGCGGTTGTGGTTTTATTTCAGGTTATCTGATTGACATACGAACCACTCCCCACCCCCAACCCCCAGGCTGGGCACTTGTCAACACATTTAAATCACGCCCATTGCCTTCAAGTAGCACACAAACCAGTGGAGGAGCTAGGATACTGGACAAATAAACATAACAAATAACGCTAAACCGGCTGAAGAGATGTTCAAGCTGCTATCTGTTAGAAGACAGACTTCTCAGGGTGTGGGAGGTAGTGACAAGAAGGGATCTCTGGGGAAGACAGGTATGCCTTGTCCTAATACTTCGTAGCTGAAGAGTGACTGAGTTAGTGGATGTGGCTGTGACTGAAAAATTTCCCTTCACTTGCCAAACTTTTTGAAGGCTCAGTATATGCCGCTGTCCGTTGGGATACAGTGATAAGGAAAAAGAACCACAGTTTCTGCACTCAGAGCTTAGAGTCTGGGGGGCGGGTGGTGAGCAGATGCTCAACTTATTGAATGAATGAATGAATGAATGACAGAGCTCGTTTCCAGATTCCTCTTTTAAGGTTCATTCCAGACCCCGGTGCTTCTGTCAGTAACAGGCCAGATATGTGACAGGGGACCTTAAACGCCAGGCGATTGAGGAATGAGACCGCTACCCATTACTGTAGAGGCGAGCTCACAACGAAGAAGGCTGACGACACATTCCCTAAGTGTGGGCCTTTTCCGGTGCCGGTGTGGTTTGGGGAGTCACAAATCCCTGCCCTAAAGGACCCTACCACGCTGAAGAGACACGGGCGGCCTTGGCCCGCAGAGACCTGGAGCCTCGAGGCAAGCCGCGGAGGGGACAGCAGCTGGTCCCATACGTTTTCCTGACACTCGGCCGGGAGCTGCCTCGGCCGCAGCCCCTCGGCCCCCAACCCTGAGCTTCAGCTCCCGACTCCTCTTCCCACAGGACAACGGTTACCTAGAGGAAGCAGCTGCGACGGGTTAGTGGTAGCGTTGGCCGCCATGGCTGCACCGGAAGTGGCCTGCGTCCATCGACGTTCGAACGGCGTTTGAAAGAGCGCGCTTCCGCTCCCCCCCAACCCGCCGCAGGCCGGGCAGGCTCGACCAATCGGAGGCCGAGCGTGCGATCGGGCTGCTGCTCGCGCATCGCGCGCGGTCCCTTCCTTCCCCCGCAGTGAGATTCCGGGAAATTTTTCTGGCCACTGAACGAACATTCAGCGGGCTGGGTAGGTACCCATTGTCCTTTCCAAGTATCCGAGAGACGTTAAAGGTATCCTGCCTTGTGAATAAATTTCTCTTCTAACCTGGCAGACGTTGCAAAATACGGAGAACTTTGAGTCCTCCTATTTTCCTCTATACACTTGCGTCTCTTGTCAAGCCAGGATATTTCTTCAGACCACTATGAATCGATTTGTTTTTCCCGCCACCGATTCACTGTGTTGCAATGTTCGTAAAAGCTATTCATTTTCTTAAGGAATCTACCGCTTATTTTAAAAGTCCAGTGGATTAGAAACTCACAACCAGCGTTTTTTGTAAGCTTTTCTAGGGTAGGGATTTAAATGTTTTATTTTTATATTCTACGGTATTTAATTCATTGTTCTTAATCTTATATCTAGGAATCTGATTTTTTGGCTTTTGGTAGCCACTGTTTCTTAAACACATTGTCTAACGGGCCACCACCAGATGTCACTCTATCTTAATGTCATCACGTTTTAAGAACCCTAATGCTTTTGTGCTTCTGTTTTGAATAAAAAGCAAACAAATTCTCTGCCTTAGTCTATTTTACATTTATACCCTAAGATCTTAAAGCTAAAACGTCTAAACAGAAGCCAGAAATAACCTCAGTCATACAACAAATGGTTGTAAAGCACCCATTATTCATTTATTGAACAAATAAATATTAGTTGTACTCTATTTGTCCAGAATTTTGCTGAGTATGAAACAGTGTACAGAACAAAACTACAAGGTCTTCTGCCCTTATAGGAGCATAAAATAAATGGAGAAAGACAGCTAATAAAGAAGTACAAGGCCCATGAAATCAAATATATAAAGCAAAAAGACCTCTTCTAACTTCTGGAATCCTAGAGAAGTAGGTAGTAATTGACAGGAGTCTAGTCCTGGAGGATGAATAAGTATTGGATAGGCAGAAGAGGGGCAGGAGTGGCATTCCAAGTAGAGAGAACACCGTGTGCAATTGGCATGTGTCCACCTCCCAACATCTCTGGCTGCACTTTAAGTCTTACATACTTCTAAGTTTGCTTTCCCTTCCCAAATGTTTTCCCTCAACCTCAGTCCTTCATGAGTTTGCTTTATTGCACTATGGATGCTCTGCCCCTGAGAAATCCTGTTCATCTTTCAAGGCCTCGCTCAAGGGTGATCACCTCTGTGAAGCTTCTCTGACTTACAGACTGGGTGGGCTCTGTCATCATCCTGCAACAATGTAAATTGCTCTCAGAATACTCTCAATTTATTCTCTTATGATTATCTATCATAGGAGTTACTACTCCCCACAAAAAATCTGAGTTCCTCAAAATCAAGAATTTTGAGAAGCAGCATAGTGATTGAATCCATTAGTTCTGAAGTTAAATTACTTTGGTTCAAACTTCATCTCCACCACAGTTTCTTCTAGTTACTTGGCCTTGTGCAAGTTATTTAACCTTTCTAAATCTCAGTTTACCCACTGGAAAAAAATGAGAATAATAGAGTCTACTTATAGAATTGTCATGAAGGTTAAATAAGAAAATACATGAAAAGTGGTTAGTAGAGGACTGGCACAGAGTGCTTATTTATTAAATGTGAGCTATTATTGCTTATTTATCTTTATTTCCTAACGCTTAGCATGATGCTTGGCTTAGAGTAGGTGCTACAAAAGCTCGCACTGCTAGCTAGTTTCACATTTATTTTTATAGCTAGACATAAGCCACTTTAAGGCAGTAATTTTTTTTTTAACGCGCTGTACCTACCACACACAGTTCCAGGTGTACTGTACAGTCTAGTGAATGTTCTTTAAGTTGATTCTCACTATTTCATTCATACCTATCAATATCCTCCCTAATCTTCATAAGATTCTAAAGACAAAGTAATGCCAAATTTGTTTATGAACCCCTTTTCTTCTGGTTTTTCTTTTCTATCTCTATTCGTGTTTTATTTCTACCACCCATAATGAGAGCAGGGACCAAATCTGGGTATTGTTGCCACCTGATAGAGTTAAAAATTCCAAAAAATTAGATTTAAGAAAGTCAATCCTTTGTTTTCCACTACAAGAACAAAATGAACACTAGCAGTTTTCAATACCATTAGTGAAAAATAAAATCTCTTTATATAGTAGTACTGTTATGGGAAAATCCTAAAAGCTCCAAAAGTCAGGCCAGCGAAATCCAAGCAGTAACCCAGAGAGAAAGAGAACTCAGTTTTATTATACTGGCGGTCCCAGAAGAGCTAGTGCTCTGAAAATCTGGGCCCAGAGCTTAGGGGTAATTTCACTTTTAGACCCGCGTTGTTACAGTTGGCATGGGCTGATTCACAGACCCCTGAAATTGCTATGGGCTACAAGCAGTTACAGAGCATGGGATTTTCTCACAAGCGCTAAAGCAATACATCTTTTCTAGCACCAAAGCAATACATCTTAAAGGGAGGGGACATATCTGTCTAAACACTAAAAGCAATATATCTTAAGGGGAGGGTGAGTTCTCAGTTGACCCTGAGATCTTTGGCCTATGCCAGCAAGCATGTTTAGAGAAGCAGAACAAAGGACTGATGAGAAATATTGGCCATTTAAGTGGGGAATTCCTCTCCAGCACCTGCTTATCTGTGGTTTTGCTTTCTATGGTTTCAGTTACCCTTGGTCAACCACAATCTGAAAATATTAAATGGAAAAATTCAGAAATAAATAATTCATAACGTTTAAATTGTGCACCATTCTGAGTAGTATGATGAAATCTCTCATCATCCCTTTGTCCAGTTTCTTCACACTATACATGTTCTCCACCCATTCGTTAGTCACTTAATAGCCATCTTGGTGATCAAATCGACTGTCTCAGAATCACAGTGCTTGTGTCCACATTATCCTTATTTTACTTAATAATGACCCCAACGTGAAAAAGTCATGATGCTGGCAATTCGGATATGCCAAAGAGAAGCTATACAGTGCTTCCTTTAAGTGAAGAGGTGAACGTTCTCAATAAGGAAAACAAAAAGCATATATAGGGTTAAGTACTATCCAAGGTTTCCCCTAGGGGTCTTGGAACTATTTCCTGCAATTAAGGGGGGATGACTGTACTCTGAAAAAGGAGATATAGTTCATTTACACAGTAGAGTTAATGGAGATTGCAGGAAGGGGGTGGTTTTATTTATCCTGTTGTTTTCTGAGGCATGATGCAAAAAGAAACGACAGGCCAATTCCAGAAGGAGAGTTCATTTTTAATGAACTTGAAAACATGTCATAGCTCAATGTCTCCAGAGTTTTTCTCCCTTTAGCTTTTACTTACAGAGCAGACATAAAATAGAATTTATCTTCATCATAAAATATACGTAACTAGAAGAGCCTCTTCGATGTATCATATGTTCATAAAAGCATTTCCTATTGTTCCCTGGAGATAAAGATCATAAAAATACAAGCAAAAGTTTTTTCAGAATAATGTTCAGAAAGTATTCAATTGTCTCAAATTGTTAATTCTGATCTTGATAATCTCCTTCCAACACTTTTTTAATAAAAATTCCTATTTTTTCTCAAGATATTTGTCATTAATTCTTGTTAATGAATTTATTGTATTAATACAACTCATAAAAAACTAACTTAAAAGTTGTTATTCTAAATTGTTATATGTACCAGTCTATATATTTAGAGATGGAAAAAAATCTGGAAATTTCTTGCTTACTTTCTCTCCCAAATTTTCCAAGTAACATGTCTTCTTTGTTTGTAGCATTATTTTAAATGATATATTTTTAAAACATTTAAGCAACATAATAGTTATAAATAACTGATTTAATCTTGAGTGTCAGTTCTAGGATGCAAAGTGATACAGATTTTTATAAAGCCCTCACTGGGTGTCCTGCACAATGAATTAAACAATTGACATTCATTGTAGATACAGAGTTCTAAAATGCCCTACCCTTACATACTTTTAAAAAGATGTTCAATTAGGCTTTAATTTTAGCTACATCAATTGTGGAAAATATGAGAGATGGAAAAGAACAGTAACATATTCTGCAAACAGGGAATACTATAGTTTCACACATAGTTCTGAGCCAACGCCAAGAATTTTGTATTATATAAATGATAGAAACATCTTTAAAAATTTCTACAGTATTTTTGGTAGCATTAAAACAGTTCTACTGAATCAGAAACTAAACTTGATTATAGGATGCCTGTTTTTCTCAGCTATACTTAGATTAGAATGCATGTCCTTAAATTTCAAGGCCAGGAGAGGAAAATATCAACTTTTAAAGTTGTTTAAACTAAGGTAGTTGCCTGCTTCAAATAGAATTCGAGTAGTCCTAAACTTCACAGCCAATTATTGTAGTAATCTCGAATTCTCTTTGAAGCAGACACCTATCCTTTCGTTTAACCCCAAAACTGTCCTGCATAAGACTTGTTAAATCTGTTAGCACTTACATTATTCACTTTAAATTGACAGGATGAGAATCAATGCTAAAAAAAAAAAAAATATGTAGTACAATCAGCTAGGAAATTATAAAAACCCTGGTGACAACAGATCTCATATAGTTTGTCCTGACTGGAGTACTAAACCCAGAAAAAAGAGAGAATGAAAATATCGGGTTTTTTTAAACAGCAGGACTAGACTATTCATTATATAGATGTCCCTGTAAACTTCCTTTGTTGTCAAGGATACTCTGCTTCAGGCCTTAAATCGCTTCCAAACTCCTATAGATAATATTTAAATGGGAAGAAAAGTAAAAACTTGGAAGAAACTCTGGGTAAGCAAGTTACTTAAGGGCTCCGCATCAATATTCCTTCGTATTATCAAGTATTTAAGAGTAAAGGGCAGAGAGATCCTAAGCCAGAAAGTCCAAGGAAACGAAGTGAAAGAATTGGATACTCAGAGAATGAATAGAAAAGACGTTAAAAAATAAGTAAAGGTGTGAGAAGAGGAGCGAAGGAGCGGAGATTTTAAGAAGACAGAACAGAGGGCAAAGAAGAAGGGAGCGAGTAGAGGCCACAGCGGGGGAGCAAGGGGGCGACAAGCGTGCCGGAAGTACCCGCCCCTCCCAGGCCCCACCCACTCCGTAGGTCCCGCCCCCAGGCCCTCAGGCCCCGCCCCCAAGCGTCCTCCCTCCGGGGC